GGGGGGGGCGCACCTTGTTGCGAGCCATGTCGACCTTGGTGTTGTGAAGGAGGAAGTGCGCCGAGGAGGACAGGATGCTCTGAGACACGGTGTCCGGGGTGTAGACATTGATCTGCGGCGAAATGGAGGTCATCAGCGAGTAGCAGAAATGCACTCGCGGATCGTAGTTCATGATGACCGCCGGGTAGCGAGGGTCCGTGCGCTTGAAGTGCCCCTTCGGGTTGCCGCGCAGCAGCTCCACAATGTCCTCCAGGGTGTAGGCACCAGCTCCGGCGGTCCCCTGGCGGCCGATCTGGTAGGAGAAAGTGGACAGCACGCGTCGGCGCTTGGCCTTCGGGGCCAGACCGCCGCGGCTGCGCCCGGCCACGGCGTGTGCCGACGAGGCGGCCGGCGCCAAGTTGGTCACCGAGCCGTCGCTCAGGTGCTGGATCTGGGCCTCACTCGCCGGGGCCGAGGGGCCGTCCTCCGAGGCCCGGCTCCCGGCCGTCGAGGACGCCAGCGACAGTGTGGACCCGGACACCGAAGACTGACCGTAGCTGGGCGACGTTTGCGCGGCATCCAGGTTGCCAGTCACCGCGGCCGCCACGTGCGCATGCATGCACAGGCAATGATACACATTGAGCCAGAAGCTGATGAGGTGACGCTGGGTGGTGATCTTGGAAATGTCGATCTGGGAGCGCCGCGTGTGTGTGTGTGTGTGCGTGTAAGGGAGAGAGTATGTGTGAGTGAGAGCATGGCACGGAAGCAGAGAACACCATGCGGGAGCGGTGCGGTCGCCGGTGTGTACGCGTACCTCGGCCAATTCGGCAACGTCGCACGCCCATTCATTGAAGTCGATCGAGTCCGACAGGACAGCCGACCAATCCAGATGGTTGTCGGCTGGGAGGGAGGAGAAGGGCACACAGGAGGGCGCCGAGGCGAAGGGAGATGGCAAAAAAAAAAAGAAAGACAAGAGTCAGCCATTGCAGGGCGGCGAGCAACGTAACACACGGATGCCCCGGCGAGGGGAGGGAGCCGATGGCAGTGGCCGTCGTGCGCAGGGGGGCAGAGCAGGAAAAGATGACGCACTGTAGCTGGCAAAGTGATAGACATCCTTGATGAAGCCACATGCCCGGCGAACAAGGTCGATGGAGATGTCCACCCCGCAGCGGGTGGATTCCCCGGCGTCGCCCTCGCTGAAGGCAAAAGACCCGGCCAGGGTGTTGAGGACGTTGCTGTCGGCGGAGCGCTGTAGCGCGAGCCGGGCAAATCAGGCAAAGCCAAAGAAGGTGCCCAGGAAGGCGCCCAGCAGGGAGACCGGCCGGGGAGGCGGGGACCCGAGCAGCAGTGCAAGCAGGAGGCGCAGACCACAAACGGCCAGGAGGGAGGCAGTGAGAACGAGCCGGCCGGAGGGTGACTGTGGGCGGCGTGTGTTTGTATGCATATGCACATGCGTGTGCGTACGTGCCCGCACGCGCGGGTGTCAGGGACACGCTGCATCGCAACAGGGGCAGGTGGCGGGAGAAGGTAGCGGGTCGGGGAGAAACCCCAGGGGCCGAGGGGGCCGGGCGAGAGGGGGGACAGACGCACGCTGCTGAGGGTGGAAGCCTGGCCGAAGATGGAGGACATCGATGGCGAGGAGGGGATCGACCGGCCGCGCGAGGGTGGCGCCCCCGAGGCCAGCGAGGAGCTCGAGCCGGAGAAGGATCCCGAGTCCGACAATGTCGAGGCCAGCAGGGATTGCGCCCCGGCGCTGAGGGTGTCCCAAGCAGTGAGGGCCCCCTCATGCTCGAGAACCGCCCGGATGGCCTCGTTGGAGTGGTGTTCCTCGATCAGCTCGGCGATCCAGGCCAGTGCGGCAATCTTCGTGCGTGTGTGTGTGTGTGTGTGCGCGCGCGCGAACGAGGGGCCACGGCAGATGGGGGACCGCGGTGAGCAGGCATGGCAATTGGCAGCGAGAAAGACATCCAGGGCGAAGCATGCAGGCGGCGTCGAGTGGCCACGCACATAGTCCGAATCGTTGACGGTATCGACAATCGAGTCAACATCGAGCGCCAGCGACTCCGAGCTGCGGGCACCGACAGGGGACTCGGAATCCGGCGAGGCGTCGCCCGGCGCAGAGCCGGGCTCACTGATCGGAGTGACGCCATCGGAGCCCAGATGGTCCGGATGCAGAGCCGGCGTGCTAGCTTGGGACATGCGCTCGGGGCGGGACGAGGACACACGCACGAGGAAGGCATGCATCCTGAGGCGGGTGTGGGGCCGGCAGAGGAGAAACGGGAGACAGGGTCGGGTCGAGATGCGTGAGGGGGGGAGGAGGAGGGGGGGGGGAAGGAGAGAGAACGGCGGAAGCGGCGACCGGACGCAGAGGGCGTACTCAGGGCGCAGGGCCTCCATGTGTGGGACCATTGACTGGAGATAGGCCTCGCGCTCGGAGATGCGGGAGGCGATGCTGACCGCTCCATCGGGCGAGGCGGGATCCACCAGGCTGGAGTTGACCAGGGTTTGGAGGGCTTTGGCAAGCAGGACCAGGCCGCGATGGTGCTCCTTGGATGGCATGCTGACGATGGCAAGCAAGGGGATGGGAAATGGTGAGCCTGAGCGATCTGGCGGGGCGGGGGGGGGGGGGGGGGG